CCCAGGAATTAACCCCTCTCTGTGGGATAAGGAGGATGTTGCCCACTGGCTCCACTGGGCTCAGAAGGAATACTCGCTGAGGCGACCAGAGAAAGGGCGTTTCGAGATGAACGGCAGAGCCTTGTGCCTTCTCACAAAGGAAGACTTCAGACGTCGCTGCCCCAGCTCAGGTAGAAAAGGAGTTCCGGTGCCAGATGAAAGAAAAGGAGAAAAATACAAAAAAAAAAACAAAGCTGATGCCGCTTTGAGTAGGTTTACATGTTCTCTGCTGGCTTTTCTTATAGGGGACGTTCTGTATGAGATCCTTCAATGTGTGAAGCAACAAAGAAGGAGTGTTGTCTGTGAGCTTCCCACTTCCTCTCACTCTGTGGCACGTGGGCACGTTCAGGGTGTGGTCAGCTGCCAGGTACCCTCTCACTCTGTCCGAGAGCAGCAGTCTGTGGCACTCAGTGACCCGGCAGGTCAGTGACTAAGACCATCTGGTGCTCTTCCTTTTGATTGATAGCTATTAGCTATTAGGAGTGTGTAGGGGTTTATGTCCTCACATTTTCAAGCACCGCGTAATGTACATGTTGAAGGAAGAAGAAGAAAAAAAGAAAAACTGTGATGAAAAAACTTCAATGTTTAGATGAAATAAATAGGCAATATAAGTTTTTGTTATAGCAGTATAAATGTCTGCATACTTTCTTTTTAAGGCAAAGGATACCTTAAAAATAGGACGGCTGATATTGAGCTGATGCTTTCTCCTCTTTCATAGAGCTTTTTTAGGTCATGCAATACTTTACAGCCACAAATTCTGACCATTTGTCTGACTTCAAAACCTTTTTTCCTTCAAATTCTGTTATTTGGGACAATTTGGGATTTTAAACTTTTGTTTTGCTGCGCCTCAGTATGCTGAGTATGCTCATTGCATTTTCCAGCATTAGCTAAATGTGTTGAAACAGAAACCCCGGCATTTCTCAATAAAATAAAAAGCGATCACAGAGCCAGAACTGGAAAGGGGTATGAGCACGCTACAACTACATAAAATCCCTCACTTACATCTACCATGAAAATGAATTTGAAAGAAATCGGTGCTTTCCATGATAGGAAGTAGGATTACTGCCAGAGGGTTGTGGCTACCGGGACAAAAGATTGTAAAACGCTAGAGTCCAACAGGTTAACTTTTTTCAGTGCCTTGTTTACAAGAAGTACACAATGCCTCCCTTCATCTTGAGAGTCATATCAATCTTTGATAGACGTTTTAATCTAAACAATAAACTTTCACTTTCACTTCATATTTCCTTCTTTTTCTGTCCTAGTGACTGCCGGTGTTCACGCAGCAGTATCTCCAACTGTTGTGGCTGCTCTGAGCAGTCAACACAAGCTCCAGTCTCCTTCGAGAGATCGCTTTCACCCTTACTCTCCTGTCTTCCCTCACAACAGTGGGTACAAAATGAAAACGAAAACAGAAAGCCAGTCTTACTCTGCTCTGCATGTCTCACATAATCAGCGATTACCAATTAGATGGCTCTTTTTTTTCTTTGCTCTGTCTTTGATGGATCAGCAGCGCTCTCCATGATGACACAAAACCAAGTTCAGTGTACTCCTCCAGCTGAAAGCGTCATCCAGGAGCCTCTCAACCTGTCAAGTCGTGAGAAACCAAGAGGTCTATTACACAAGGCCAACGGTCGCATCCCAGGTATTGTTACAGCCCGATTGGAAAACAATGACTCGCTCACAGAATCCAATACATTTAATCACAAAAAAAGCTCACAGAAAGTATGTATGTATATTTGTATGTATTTGGATCTATGTGAATATGTATATATTCATGCTGTTTGTTTCAGAGTGCAGACTGCTCTGGGACTATGTTTATCAGTTGCTGTGTGATGATCAATACCAAAGCTACATTCGGTGGGAGGACCCGGACAGTCTTGTGTTCAGGGTGGTTGATCCCAACGGGTTGGCACGTCTCTGGGGAAACCACAAGGTGAGTGTCCTCAGCCGTGTGTGTCATCCGGCAGGGAAAACAAACAATCAGCGAGTGTGTTTCAACCAAAGCTGGAGGTGTGGAGGGCACGGTAAAACAAAATCTGTCTTTCATGCTCTTGATGACTTGTATTGTCTTTATACAGAACCGAGACAACATGACCTATGAGAAGATGTCCCGCGCCTTGCGGCACTACTACAAGCTCAACATCATTAAAAAAGAGCGAGGACAAAAGTTGCTCTTCAGGTATCTGCCCCTCTGGTTTGCTCATTCCTTTATTTTTGTCATGCCCTCATGATGTTGTTGTCCTGCCTCTGGCTGTCCTCAGGTTTCTGAAACTACCACAAGACATCAGGAAACAGCAGGTGGTTGCTGGGTCTACTGAGCACAGTCCGCTTCTGGACAGGGACTTCCCAGACAGCAGTCCTGTGCACGAGTTGGGTGAGGACCATTTTGAAGTGTCACCTGATCGGGCTTCTCCTCCGCCTCCCTCAGCTGGTGACCCAGTCCGATAGAAAAAGACGTGCAGATTGTGTTTTTTATATCTCACATCTGTAGCCTTAAAAATTAACCAATGCGTGTCCAGGCTGAACAAAATGCAATGTCTGTTTTGTTTTAAAACATTTTTTTTCAGTGGTACTTCTTCTGTTCTGTTCTTGTTTTTTGCTGTTAATCAGTATGAGTTTGATCCGAATGAACACTAATTACAACGGACAACAAAACTGTGACAGGAAGCAATATCAATAGATAATAATAATCAAGATGTAAATGTCAATGAATGGTTTAACATTGCATGTATGTTAAAACACATTATGGGATTTTCTTTTTCTTAGACAAGTGCTGCAGGTACCTGGTGGATTTAGCATTACTTTATTGCGTACTTTTATCAGATTGTTGAAGTAGTGCTTACAGTTTTATAGGAAACATTTGCGTTTGTTGAATTGATGGATTTTCTTTCTGCTTTTTGAAATAAATATTTTTCATGTGGCAAGTGAAACCAATCGTGCATTCATATGTATTAACAAGGCAATGTGAAAAGTTAATTCAGGACATTTCACCATGGTGAGTCAAAGTGCTTCCCATAATGATATTTCATTTGTATCAATACTACAACAAAAAACTAAGAAAAATAGAGGTCTAAAAGGTAAAGCACAATAAAACATAAATTAATATGATTCAAGTTATTTTAATCAATTAATAGAAAAGTCAAGATAAACAGAACATATTCCATAAGCCTTGTTTGTTGAAGTGGTTAATTCAAAAGCACCATCTATGTACAAAAAGCATCAAAGGCAGGCTGCCACAGTGATGGTGTTGTGTTCCCTAATGAAATGTCAGAGTTATACCAGCAAGGGGCACTGTGGTGGCTTTGTGGCCCAGCTGGTTGCTTTCTTGGCCAAAATCTTAGTGTCTCCAAATAACACTGTAATGCATATTTATATATGAAGCGAGGCAGCATTAAAGTAGTAACAGAGAAAAAAAAAAAACAGAAAAAGGGCCTTAATATTTTCTTTAATCACATTTCCCCCTGACTAGACATCTTTTAAATCTATCTGGTTTAAGGTCAGATATTTGTTTCATATTTGTGTACTCTTTCCACGTAACCCTCAATAAACTGAAGAACTTAAAGTGCTTTGTGAAAAAGACAAGCAGTCTTTGAGGCTGCCCCCTCACATGAGCATGACAAATAAGACATGTCTAATTGAGAAGTCTTTAAAGACACTGGCAGCGCAGTCCTCACGGAGTTCTCACTGAATCGCTCATCTTTGCCTGACTAAACGTGGTCCTTTTCATTTGAGTTTCGCACACAGATTTTTTTTTTTTTTTATCTTAAATAATCTGACAGGTCATTGACAAAATTTCAAATATGGCTCCTGGTTTTCCCAGTTGTCGCAACTATGAGGTTCCTCAAGACATCTCTTTCTCCGGATCGGGATTCCTGTCCACCTATCAGCTTGGTGTTGCCCTATGCTTACTAAATCACGCAGCCTGGATTCTGCGCTCAGCCCCCTGCATACTTGGCTCATCTGCGGGATCCCTGATAGCAGCTGCTGTGGTCTGTGAAATCAACCTCCGTAAGTGACCGTGTATTCTTTGTTTCTACATTTGGTTCGGTTGTGTTCCAAATAACTCAGTGTCCTCCTGTTTTACAGTTACCATTCGGGATGAGATCCTCCTTTTGACCAAACAAGTGGTGACTCTCACACTTGGGCCATTTCATCCAGGAATTAATGTTTTTCGGTGGCTAAAATCCATTTTGGACAAATATCTTCCATCTGATGCACACCGTCTGGCCAGTGGTCGTCTTGGTGTTGCCATGACCCGCCTAAAAGATGGAAAACATTTCATTATGTCCGAGTTCCAATCAAGGGAAGATCTAATACAGGTAAGAACTCACCTCTAGTCAGTAGTCATTGCTTTAGCTACTAGTTACTTTAAATAGTAACATTTTTGTGCAGAAGGACCTAGAAACACTTGAAGAACAGAACAGTTTTAATAATGATTAAACCACCGTCAGTGACAACTACCCACACTGTTCAGAGCATTTCCACACGTCAAGTTTCTGACACCAAATCAAACTACCAAGCATCCAGACCTGAGAAGATCTTTAGATTCCCATGTGTTACATGATGCATTTAGATCATGAACACCGCAACTTTATGTTAAACTGTCTCATCAGTAAACGGTATGAATCTCTGTCATAACAGTAAGTTTCTGAGCGGTCTAAAAATCTTCCGACGTCGTCCACAGGCCCTGCTGTGTAGCTGTTATGTGCCTGGACACAGCGGTTTTCGTCCTCCAACCTTTAAGGGAGTTGTGAGTAGCTATCCACACTCTTTTACAGATCCCTTTAAAAAATCTTATAGGGACAGTTTATCCATGTTTTTATTCTTACCTGTCAGCATTACATCGATGGCGGTTTGACAGGCATACAGCCAAGACTGCCTGCAGCATCCGGCCGCACACTGACCGTCTGCCCCTTCTCTGGAGATGCTGACATCTGCCCTGCGGACCCATCTTGCATGATGGAAATGGTAGTGGGTGGGGGCATACTCAAGTTTAGCCTGGCAAACAGTTACAGGATCCTCAATGGTCTTTACCCCGTGGCTTTGGAGGTGAGATATCTGTTGTATCTGGCTGTATGCAAAACTATTAGTGCTTTGTATGTGCTGTATTGTTGATACTAAGGCATGATGCATTACTTTCATCTAGTCGCTCACTTGACTTTTTGACTTTTTCTCACTAAACTGATCACCCTGCCTGTCATTTATCATACTGCCCTTTATTTATTTTTTTAGAAGTCCTCTGATCTTTGTCTCCGCACTGCAAGACACACTTTCATTCGCAGCAGTAGAATTTTGTAGTGTTATACTGGATCAGTGTCTCTATTCATTTTTTTTAATCAGTGCAATTTCCATCCCTACCAAAATTTTGCTGGGGTCGATGATCTACGCAGTTCTTCATACATACAACCTATTGGCCAGCTAAATTTAGATTATTATGTTGACCACTCTTTATGTTGTTCTAAATCTGAAAAAACCCACAGATCTCAGCAGTCCCAGACAGAATTTAGTTAGATTCTGTTGAGATAAAACTGAGGTCTCTCTGTTATGTTGGTGTTGCTCTTGGCAGTCGATCAAATGATAACTCACAAACTGGGTTTCTGTGTTTGTATCTCATCAGTCTTCGACACTCTAAAAAGATATTTGAGCTTCTTGCTTATCGCCAGAATTTGGGTCAGTCAGAAATGACATCATGTCCTCTGTATAATTTTACATTTAGCTTTTCATCTGTAACTTTGGATCACGTTGTTTTTATATATGGTGGTCCTGAGCAGCTATCAACTCATAGAGAATTGCACTGGTGCATAGAAACCAAAGAGTAAAGATTAGGAGTTAGTCTGTAAATGGGTTTAATGTGTGTTGAGGCAGATTGAATTTAGAATTCTTGTCATGCTCACATGCTGTGTTGTTCTTGCATTCTGTAGACTATAGAACAAGCGTTCCACTCTGGCTACAAAGATGGCATTGGTTTCCTTAGGAGCAATTGTGAGTCAAATGGTGACACACATACCCTTACCTTTTGTTTGATTGATCTTACTTAAAACTGTTCTCAATGTTTTTCATTTTGTGCAGATCTTGTCAAATCTGTGGTGTCCAACACATTGTCCCAAGTGTCACTAAAGTGTGACCAAACCAAAACATGGATGCCTCTGGAGACCACACAAGTGGAAGAAATGGAAAGGGAAACCAAACTCCCTGACTCAGAAGCCACCAGAGATTTTGATGTAGTAAATAATGGTAATAATAGACATAACTTTTAAGTAATAACTATTAGGTTGAACAGAAAAAGCTTGAATATGTATAACTTTAAAGGGATAGACACCAGCTGAGCAGCACATGGCAGTATTACCCACAGCTCCATCTACTGAGCATAGTATAGAAAAGTTATGACTACAAAATAAGTAGGGAAATTGCTCCGGATCACTTGGACGTTATGTCACAAAGACTGTTTTTGAATGCACATGTTGAATGAAAAGGCAAGATACAGACCTAAACATTTTCTTTGGGCTCTTAAGTTTAAGTCAGTAAATCATCAAAAATGTTCTAAATTTCAGATTTGTTATTAATTTAGTATAGTATATGTACAATAGCCTGGAAAGCCAATGTCCTTTTCATGTTCAGCTGCCTTTGTGTTGATGATGTTTGTTCACATCTGTATCACAGCTCATCTGATAACTGATCTGAGTGAGTTTGGGCCATATAAAAGAATAGTATACAGCCTGCTTCTGTCCCTTATGGTGCTGTTTGATGTCTCACTCCAGACCAGGAACAGGTAAAAAATAAAACAAACACTCAACATACAACAACGGACATTTTTATTACAGGCTTAGAATATTATTTTGTTCACCAAACACATACGCAAAGAACACTTATATCCATTCTTTTCCTATTTTCTCCAGACTGGGGTTGCTCTTCAGAGAGATGCCTGATTTAATTTTTTGGACTTGGCTTTCCCTGAGACATTGTAGCGTATTCTTTTTCAATATCATCATCAGTACCATCAAGAAGAATGTGACAGACAGGTAAACTGATCATCTGATTGATTATTACTAATGGAAATCAAGTTTGATGCTATCAGGAATAATATTTCACTCTCAAAGTTAATCTCAATTTAATCTGATTTTAAGTGACTTACTTTGTGTTTTAGGGTCATGCCGATCATGTTCCTGTTACAATGGATAAAGGTTCAAGAGCTGTAGGAGGCTTTGTGAGGGGGCGGCACAATGAATGGTGAATCTACCTATTTTGGGATTAAGAAGAGGCCTATTTGCACCAGGAGTCTCTTTTAGTCTGCATGTCTATCTTTCAAAAAATGTCCCTTTTTAAACATGTTTTCCTTATAATTGTTTCTATCATTTCATACATATACATACAAAGTCCAATAAATCCATGGACAGAATCACTGCTTAATTTTCAAAATATGAATCACAAAGTTACAAAGTTTGAAGTAAAAAAATCAAAACAATGTTCCTTTAAAAAGAAGATTGGAGAGATTTAGTTAATGCTCTCACTTAAATTTATTGCTCCATTTAACAGTTCCAGGAATCTGGAATCCAGTTGCAATGACCAATTTGCAAAGGACCCGTGCTCTCCGAAGCCTTAGATGATACTGCGTCATGAAATGTGATTCAACTGATATAAATTCTGCCAACAATTCGACAGCGATCACTGACCTGGAGGTGATCTTAACAACTGGCTGGGCTCAGTACCTGATTGTTTAAAAAGAATTTGGGTCAGCCCCAGGCACAAACCAGGCTGCTTCCACACTCTGGTGGTGGTTTCTAGTTTATTCATGGAAAACAGAAAGTTAATGGGTGTGGGGGATTGGTATAGGGGGTTGAGTTTGGATGCTGTCTTTGCTACATGTGAAAACTGTAGGACTTATGAAAAAGGTCAAACACTCCCCCGCTTCTGGGAAAATGACTGACATAACAGTAAGACATTTAGTCTCTTTTGGTGGCTATAATTCCATACGCTCATGAATTTTTCCAATCTGTGAAAGATCACTATGTCTGACTTCGAATATTTTAAATACGGATGGTACATAAAGCCCTCTGGACAAAACATTTACATGAATGCAGTCCATTTACAACAATTTCATAACATACAGATGGAAATTTTTAAAGAAGCATAACTAAATTGGATGTTTCACACCCCCCTTTCCACAATTCTCAGAGACTCCTTTCTTCTTTCTGGAAGTGTTTGTCTCTGGACAGCATGCTTCTTGTCATATCTGGAAAGTTGTCGAGGTGTTGTTTTGGTGTTTTTGACAACAAATTCATGCATAGCCGTGCAGGGGGAGGGCTCAGACTAAAATGGGCTTTTATGATCGTATTACAACTTACAACACTATAAGTTATATTTATGTATAATTGTCTACTCATTTAAATGGATATGGATGCAACGTTTAAAAAGTATACATTTCAAATTTGCTAGTAAGTAGCATCCTCTCCTCTCTAAAGAATATATGTATACATGTATGGATTCATATATATGTACTGTATATATATGCACTGCATAAATGAAATACTGCCCCATATAATCTCTGATCTTACCTTTTATCTGAACAAGGGTCTTGCATATTTATTACCCCAAAAGGGTTTATAATTTTTACAAGTAATGTCGTTTTCTGTCAGCCTTTAACATGGATAATCTGTTGGATCAGGAAAGGACAATTTAGATTAATTCCCTTCATCCAATCAACAAATGTAAGCGGATGTCAGGTTTTACGAGGCAGGGCTCACATGTTTTAATGAGTCAGCTTTGTGTGCGTGCATGTCTGCCTGATCTCTCAGATTCTCAGTTATAATTTTGTAGTTTATTCAATTCTTTCTTTAATTTACCAGATGTTTTTCGGCAGCTTATAATTCAGTCTAGTTGACAGGCTGAATGGCGTCTAAAGTTGTGCTGAAGCTAAGCACTGGGAATATCTTAAAAATCAACAACAAATTAAAAAAAAATCCAATTGATTAAATCATATTACCTTCTCACTTATTTATCTCTTTTGGTTTTATGTTTGTAGAATGAAAAATATTGGTGATTCTTTTTCTAATCATGATCTGATCCAGTCTCATATTTGCAAAAAAGATACTTTGATGAAGTAATGGATTTTCATTGGTTAAATTCAAACAGTGAAAACATTTTTAAAATAGTGATTACACATGTTTATCATGTAAGTGAAGAGGACATCAAGCCAGTGAAAATCAATCATCCACAACCTGCAAAACGCCCAAGAAATTTGAACGAGAGCAAGAGAACATGTCATGACTTGCTCTACTGAAATAAGCTTTTGTTCAGAATTTGTTTCACTAGAGTGTGGTTTAACCAAAGACATTCTCATTTAACCATCACGTCTGTATTTCCTCTTATGATAACCGGATAAGGTGGAAAAACTTTTAAGAGTGCACAGTTGAGGTGATTGTATCTAGCCTTGCTTTTCTCTTAACCTTATTTGACCGGGAAATGAAGTTCACTGGGAGGGAATTTTTTCTCTCACAATTTCCTCCCTCTAACCCACATATCGCACCCTGAAGTGTCAGCCTTAGATGACCCCATGGAACCTCGAGGACTGTTGGCAAGCTTTAACTTTTCATTTCACTACTTGCAGTTTTACTATAACTGTCTTGGTGAACATGTTACTTTGCTTTTATAAGTGCTTTTTCTCCTCTAAAAAAATGCAAGCAAGGATAGAAATTGTGAGAAGTGTTTTGACAGAACCTACTATGCAAGATTAAACATGTCTACCTTTTCCCAAATGAATGTATGCTTCAAATCAATGCAGATATTGTCCGTCATACTTTATGATAATTCAAGGCTGTCATTGAAATGAAAATTCAAACATGAGTAAGAAAACTTCTTGTGAAAACAATCTATAATTGCAATGTTGAATGTGTACAGAAAGTGGCTCCCACATTCCTGAACTACAAGGAAACATTCTATGATGACCTATTTTCACTAAACATATTTAGTAATAGATTAAAACAGAGACACACACAAACAAACATGATTCATGAGGAGATTCCCGCCTCGTACAGAAAGGATTATGTTTCTTTCCTCTGCGTCATACAAAGTCTCGAGACAGGGCTTCTTGAATTGTCCCTTCTCTTCTGCAATTTCCCTCACACGTCATATCTCTTCCTTAGTTGTGGAACTTTCCTTTAACACATCTTGTTAATGATGGAGCACTCTCATGCATCTTTAAGCATTTGACAGGGAGCTCTTGTTCTGCAATTTCAGCTCATTCAAGAAATAAACTCTCACACCCGTAGTTCTTTAAAAAGTTAACAGTGTTGCTGAATTTCTTTTACCTTTTGATCTTATTAAAGTCTGTAATGAATTAATGGCACATTCTGGATAAGTTATAAATGATTCAGTGGCACAAAGGTGGACTATGGCTTTAAAAAGTATTCATGCAATAGGCAAATACACAAACACTTTTTTTTGTTTTCTAAAGAGAATATTACTTTAAATAATTAATTCAGTGTGTGATGTTCTTATTCATAAAAAAATTGAGAAAATAAAAGATGGAAGTTAACCCATACAAAAAGTGAACCATCATGATCTCAATGTTAATGTTCACCATTAACGTTCTACATTTATGGTGAGTGCGTTTAGGACATTGTAGATCGTTTATGTATATTGGCAGTTTCCGTCATAAATCCTTTGATTACACTACCAATTACAACTTTGATGAGGTTTCCAGCAGCTGTAATGTAATTAACTTGTAGTAACCTAATAAAACTTGTGTAGGATACTTTGGGACTGACTGGATGTGCTTAAAGGAGACAGAAAAACATCCCAAAGACACAAATAGACCCAGAAAAATCTACATCACATTGTGATGCCATATTTGTTCACATTCATTCACTCCAAACTGATAGACAGATAAAGGTCTAATCTTTTTAGTGTCCTCTCTTGTTGGCCTGATCCAGTGTAGATCTCAACTAATTCCTTAACCTTTAATTGAAATAGTTTGCTCCTGACACTTCAGGTCACTTAAAGTTAATGCACTGGCTATTATGTAACCTTTTACACTGTCACATTTTTGTGTCAAAATGACCTTGAGCAGATAAGTTAGCATTATTATATTTCAGTTTGAACTTTCAGTCATGCTAGTAACATTTTTCAGCCTTACTGAGACTTTTAGAATCAGTAATACTCCAGCATTTTTACTTACTTAATTTCAATTTAAATGCCTTAAGCATTGTCTTTCACACGTTTGTATTTATCATTTTTGCCAGGACTTCAGCATTTTGTTTTTAAGCCATTTTTAATAAACACTTCACCTTATTTGAAGGAGTTCATTTAGTTTATAGGAAAAACCTTTTGGCAGGAACAGCTCTCCAGTTGGATTCAATATTTTGGATAGAAATATCTTTTTCATTTTGAGTTTTAATCCCTGTGATCAATAGCACTCAACTGGGCTTGTAGTTAAAAGAAGCTCTACTTTCAAGTTTAGAAACTTGAACCATCTTCAAAGACATAGATCTTAACTTGAACACAAGCCTTGTCTTGACCTGATAAGCTGTGACAGCGAGTCTTAAATACTGTCCAAGGACAGCTGTATGTATTCTGCAGGGCATGACAACAGGATCCAAATCTGATTCCAACCCTAAAACAATGCTTGGGGATAAAACAGAATTGAGTGCAAACATGAAGATGTGACTAAAAATGAAGTTTTATGTTTATTGAATGTTTCTTTTAAAATGTTATGGAATTTTAGTGGGTATTAAAGCATTATGTCCTTGCAGTGTTCCACCTAAATGTGACAAGACAGGATAGAGTACCCACTTGTGAGACGAATATAGTGTGCTTGGAAATGTATCTATTTCAGGCAATTATTTACTTAAAATAATCTGTAAGTGAAAATATAATTTGATCCTTTGGGTTTTTTTTCCAATTGTGGTCTTTGGAGTATGAATGAAGTAAAAAATAATCTGTTTTTCCACCTTAGGTCCGTCACAATTTTACAATTTTATGATATGTTAATTTCACCCAGAGAAGTTAGAATCATGTCTGGACATGTTTAACATAATTCTTTTTTTCGTTCTTTATTCGTTTTGAATACCACAAGTTGTCCCTTTCCTTTGTGGTCATATCTGCTATCTGAATGTTCCGTTAGAATGTGCTGGACATGTACTGCAAAAAACGAAAAAAAAAAAGAAAAAAAAGTTGGTGGGATGAATCCTAAAACTGGACTTAAGCCCGGAATAGAATTTATATGAGAACAGAGTTTTTTGTTTTATTTGTCTTTATATTTGTTATTTTACAAACCATAGCAACTTAATCACGAATTGAGTAGTATCATCAGCTCACAGTCCAGTCCTCTATCTGACAAAAAGCATAGAGATGTGAGGGAAGCAGCTTATGTGGGGAGTCCAGAGTTGAAGCTGTTTTGTATTAAAAGTATAGAATCAGTTCAAGCTTATGTTCAAGACCTTTGACCGTATCATTGAGATACTTAGATGAAGATCTCTCTGCAAAGAGAGGCTAATGCAGATATAAGCACGGAAAAAATCTTATACAAACATGTAACTGTAATATCTCTTCTTAATGACCAAAGTTGACATAAATGCTGGACGATTGCACGGGAGATATCCTAGATGTTAAAAACAGCTATTGCAACAGAAACAAAGAAACAGATGATGCACTGACCACAGAAGACTTCTGGATAAACACAAGATCACAGCATCTGGCACTGAAGAGAGGAAAACCTGGAGGGTAAACACTGAGCGAGGTAATAACAACTGAGGATCGTGTGCGGCAGTCAGAAACTGAAGACCAGGAATCAACTGGAAGTAAATTCACACAGGGTGAACTCTTCTAAATAAAATAGGAAAGAGAGAACATTCAGGCAAATCAAATAAAAACAATAAACCAAAAGACAAAGTCAAATCCCGACAGAATATGTCAGTAATTCTGTATCATACTATTCTAGAATTTAATAGTCAAGTTACATTAATCCATTTTAAGGAACTGAATGAAAGTCGGCAGAAATATCAAATAAATGTAAAAAGTGCACAGACTACACTATAGTGTGCCACAGATCTATTTCCCTTGTAACCTATTTCCGCACCTACTTGTAATGTATCTGTATGGCTGACATATCATTACCATGAAACAGCTAGCGTGTGAACTCACATCTACTGTTTCTTTCCAAGTGTCATTTGCCTCTCCTTTCTCTCCTTTCATTTGAAGCTCTTTTTGCATCAGTGTCCTCGGCTGTTGTTGTGGACATAATTTGGGTCAAGCCTCCAATCAGTTACAGGTTCCGTAAAGAGATTTATCTTGAGAAAAATACCATCTGTTACTACAGCAAATGAATAGTACTCTGTCAGATGACATTTTGCTGTTTTTGTTCAGCAGCATTCAGGCTGAAATGTGTGACGGTTCTAAACCCTGCATGATAATACAAATGAACGGCTAAAAGTTCCCGTGAGTTTGTTTTAATTCACATTTGAATCTGTTTTCCTCAATAGTTGTGAATAACGTGTCATTGGTGAGTCTAATTCTACTGACAAATCCAATATTTTTCTTCTCAATGAGCAAAGGCAAACACCATTATGTGCTTCTCAGAGCTACATTGTGCAATGCTAATAAGTTAAATAACAACAAACAACATATTGTTTCCCAAGTAACTGAATTTGTCAAAATAAAGAAAAAAGAAGTCCACATTAATGTGTGTATGCTTTTTTTATCAATAAGTTGCCGTGACTCAGGAGACTACTGCCCCAAAGAAACCCCTCCATCTGCATTGTGTTGTGTTGTTGAGTCTAAAGATGGGTATCAGGTTAAACTAGTGAGCATTAATAGATAGCAGACTATGTTAACCAGAGAGTGGCATCCTCTTGGTGTCTGGAGGACTTCCCAAGATAGGGTACCTCGCATGCTTATTTTATGTGCCCTCTATCTTTGTGTCCATGGCAGTAACACTGCAGTGAAAGCAGAGACAGGTTAATGAAAGTAATGAGGATTTTCTTACCTGAAGGGGATGACCAATGGAATGTAAGAATGTTAACTCTTTCGTTCTCTTCCACTTTATGTTTCTCGCAAACAGACACGCTAACACATTTGCATACATCTTCCCACTACTACATAAAAACATGTAAAACATGACAGGACACAAATCAAAATCCCAAATTGTATTGAAGTAAGGTATATTAATGAATGTTATCATACACATAACTACAGTGTCATGGTCTCGTTGGTGTAATAAACTTGCTCTCTACCTCTAACTTTGTACAGTGGAGCGGCAACTTTAAAGAGGGACTAACTTCACCCAAAAACATAAACGAAAAATCCAGACACTATTGCATGCTTGTTGCCAGAGGAAAAACATTCACATAGTCATGGTGGCAAAACAAATGTAGCTGAGATATTTTGAATTATCAGTGTTTACAAATGTTGAATACATCTTTGCAAAGAAATTGATCTTGATTTTATCAGTCCTTTTTTAAAATAATCATCAAAATCTGGACTTTATCCGATTAGATCAATTTAGCATGAATTGTGCATCAAAGGAAACAGATCATAGATATATAAAAGAACAAACCATTTAAATTAAGTGTACATAAACTGAGTATAATACTGTGGCTTCTCAGATTTCCAGCTACAATGACTCCAAAGGCACTAAACACTGTTGAAAGTAAGTAAAAACTTGAATCAGACTCCACATGGTCAGATATAGTAGTAATAAAAAATACCTAATAATAATAATTTACTAGTAGAAGAGCATTTGATGAAGTCAACCTGAGGAAACAACTGTCATAGTAAATGTTGACATAAAAGCTGACATCTGGTTTTGCTGATCAGCAGCAGCTTCTGTGTACTAAAATCACACAGTTCCTATTTATTGCCTATTCAGTATGTCAAAATGTCATTCTGTACTTTGGAAAAGAGTCAAAGTTCCTATGAATCCACTCATAAATCAAACATCTTGACTGTACAAAAAAAAACAATTCAAAAGCTTTTATGAGCATTTTATGTTATGTGACTGTTTTACTTTTTTCTCATGCTTCACTTTCTATGTTTTATCTGGTTTTACGAGAAACTGAGTCTTTACATAGATATAAAAATATTTTTCAGTTATTCATGGATTGTTCTCCCACTTCCATTCTAAAATCTATTTGAAATAGGAAACCCAATCAAAGACCAACCTGGTCTTAGTCTTGGAATATCATCAGTACGTCCCACTCACACAGCATACTTTACATTTATTCTTCGAAGAAAAGATGGATCAAGGGACATTTTGGCTATATTTCCTTATATGTATGAATTCCCTTTATTCCTCTTGATAAGCAAAAACTTTGAACTTTGGCTGCTTTTTTCTGTCATTCCATTCCTAAATGTTCTGCTGTGACCAAAAGTTACCAAATGCATAATAAACACAGGTATCACATGGGTGATTATATATGGCAAATTCAGCAGTATACAAACATTGTACATTTTAAGGCACTCCAGTATAATACATAAGGTGGAGTAAGTTAGATGTTCTATTTGAGATATGTCATCTCCCTAATAAGAGCAAAGTGTTGTATAAAGAAAATAGTTAACACATTTTCAAAGGAATAAATAAAACAGGGCTATAACCAACACATTATGCACTAGTACTGTTTCAAGATAGTTACAAAATTGTTTTTAGTATTTTTTTTTATCTTTACAACTTTGGTCTAACTTCTTTGAAAGTTTTCATCATTCTCATTGGTTCTTTAGCAGGTTTGTTTAAAAATCAAATTTAGGCAAGAGATTAAACTAATAGCCTCTTAAAATTAAGAATCGTTTCTTTGGTAAATTTGTTAGAAATGTGTACTTAACCTTATACACACAGGCCCGTGGCTATATATATATATACACAAACACAGTGGGTTATCGTTGATCCAAACTAAACTTTGAATCAAGAGGGCAGAATTATGATTATTGGTCAAGATAATGGCAATGAGACAAAAATTAAATAAAAGACATTTGTTAAACATAAACAATGTGTTATATTATAGTCCTGAAGAATTTGATTCAGTTATTATGCATCTACAACTACAACATAAAATAAACTTGAAACATGCTCACAAACTTATTGAACAAACATGTGAAGCTAATCCATGAGTATTGTTTTCTTATTAGTCTAAAGAGGTAAATGTGGTGCAAACAATATAAACATATTTTTCACATGAACAATGAATGTATATTTCCTCCCTTGAAATCATTCATCATCACCAACACAAATCTTTGTCTTGTTCCACAACCATCTCCTCTCATTCTGTCAGACGCCATTGACTTTATTGAGGGAAGCATTGCTTCCCTGTCTGGTACTTGTCTCAGTGTTAATGGCTTGCTCAAGAGCATCAACCATAGGTAGTTTGTCCTCTGCTTCTGTCTCTCTGTGGTAGAAGTAGTTGAAGTTGGAAACAATTACAGGAACAGGCAAAGCAATGGTCAGCACGCCTGCAATGGCACACAAGGTGCCCACGATCTTACCCCCCATGGTAATGGGACACATGTCTCCATATCCTACAGTGGTCATGGTGACCACAGCCCACCAGAAACCATCAGGTATGCTGACAAATTGTGTGTTAGGCTCATCTACCTCGGCAAAGTAGATAGCACTTGAGAACAGAATGACTCCAATGAAAAGGAAGAAGATGAGCAAACCAAGCTCACGCATGCTAGCCTTGAGAGTTTGTCCCAAGATCTGCAGCCCCTTAGAGTGACGTGAGAGTTTGAATATACGGAACACCCTGACCAGGCGGATAATACGCAAAATGGCCAAAGACATGTTCTGTCCTGAGCTTTCCACTGGCGTTGTGACCAATTCTGTGATCAGAGTTACAAAATAAGGGATGATGGATATGATGTCAATGACGTTCATGATGTTGTGGAAAAAATCGCTTTTGCTAGGACACACCACAAATCGAATGCAAAGCTCAAAGAAGAACCAAGTAATGCAGGTGGTCTCGATGAAGAAAAAAGGGTCAGAGAAGGTTGTGAGCTTTACACCGGATGGAGGCGTGGAACTGTGGCCTCTGGATTGGTTGAAAGGTAGTATTGCTGTGGGCACAGGCAGTTCAGAGTCATCCCTGAATTCAGGCAATGTTTCCATGCAGAAAATAATTATGGATATCACAATGACCAGGACAGAAACTAGAGCCACACCACGGGCTGCGTTTGAGCTCTCTGGGTATTCGAACAGCAGCCATAGCTGTCTGTATATATCTTTAGTAGGGAGAGGAATTTCCGCATCTTTTATAAAACCTTCCTCTTCTCTGAACTGTTCCATGGCTTCATTTCCAAGTTCATAGAACACAATTTCATCAGCAAATACATCCAGGGGAACATTAGCCGGTCTTCTGACTTTACCCCCAGACTGATAATAATACAATATTCCGTCAAAGCTTGGCCGGTTCCGATCAAAGAAATACTCATTCCTCATTGGATCAAAATAGTCCATCCTCTTCAAAGAGTCTCCTAAAAGTGTGTCGGGAAACTGGTCTAGTGTTTTGAGCTGCGTCTCAAAACGAAGTCCGGCAATGTTGATGATGACTTTCTGGTCTCCGTCATCAAGCCCACGTTTATCCACGAACAGATCTTCACAGCACTCCTTGGCGAGACGACTGAAGATCGTCTCACTCTCCTTGACTCCCTCGCTGTTTAACAGCAAATTCCAGTTGGAAATCATGCTGGCACAGCTACTGCGGCCCTTTCTGTCTGAGGATGGCATTGCTGGGGACTGGGGCACGCCCAGTCTCTGTGACTGTGGAATGGGTGAGGAAGAGGTGGATTCCCATATGTAGGAAGGCACGGGGCTGTATGCACAGGGCGTAGAGGACAGTCGAGGGGCTTGCAGGAGGTAATTGATGTCTTGGTTGCTTTGCTCTGGGGGCATGTCTACAGTGAGAGCTGTGGTCTCATCAGTCTCATCCTCAAGGCTGCCATCAAGGTCCTCTAGGCTCTCAAAGTCTACTAGGGCCACCTCCATGGCTGTGGAAGAGCCAACTTTGCACCACCAGGTCAGCACAATCACATGTAGTGACAGATGGAGGCCTTGATAAAACAAGACTCACAGGAACAATTGAAAAACTCTCCGTTATGCCTGGAAACCTGTAGAATCAGACAAAAAAATAGTCAGTGGGTTTCAGCTAGTAGGTCAGGGCATATTAATATGAGCAGTTTCTGCTTGACAACTTACTATTGCAAATTTCTTCCTAGTTTCAAAATGGTATGAAACACTTGAGCATGACAACTGAGTGTAACATATATACTGTATTTCTTGACAGGCAAAATAAAGCTGAAGATACAGTTAAAGTCTATTGGACAATGGTCTGTAATGTACTGTTACAACACAATGCATCTGTATTTCAACAGTTTGATTTTATTCTGAAAGACCTTTATGGTAAAGTTACAACAATTGCCATCATTATAATAGCTTGATTCCTTGTTGTTTTTATTTAGGTTTTTTACTATCTTATTCTATCAAATATATTGATGTATTTGATATTATATTAAAATGGTATGTTTTATTATTCATTCATTCATTAAATGAACAAGATTGTAATATTTTCTTTCGTCCAGATTTCCCAAATGTAATTGCAGGGAAAACTGTTATTAAATTATCCAAACGGAATTCTGGTAATTCTGGGATTTTCTTATTGATTTTTACTTATTAAGAAATGCACATACACTGTAATGACCCTAATGCTGGCGGTGGGGGGAGAGACTAGGCAGTGTAACTAGGGCTGGGAATGTGTTGCATAATTAACTTGTTGTACATTGATAGCTTAGGTCTGGGTTCTTCCAGACACCAGGATACACATTTAAAGAGCACTCAGCCACAATATTCTTAGTAGCTAATCGACTGTTCTTACGTTTGCATATTCAGGTTGATCCTTTAATCACTGTGGACCGCATGAAATGGTAAAACTGTTCTGATGTTTCTCTGAAAAGTCATCTGTGTGTGTTTGCTGTACAAATACTCTTGAACAGTATAAGCACACTGTCCAAGTGTGTGTGACCAAGTGGTGAAGCCTGCAGATGTTTAATTAAAGACTATACAGATGAGTCACCGGCTATAGCCAGGGCCAATGATACCAATCCTATTGGGAGAGAAATAGAAGGACAGAAACAGAATCAATGAAAATGAAAAGGAGGATGACATGAAAATTGTTGGGAAGCCAGAAGTGGGTGAAAGCAATGAGTGGGATGAGAACCGAGTATTGAAAAAAAAAGGAAATGAAACGAACTGGGGTTTTGGGAGGGTGGATGAATTGACAGTATGATGAGAGAGGACTTCTGTAAAGAAGGGTGATTTATCATGAGCAGGGGATCATATGTCATAGGGGATATTGGAAAATTAGACTTATATCACTTAAATATTTAAAATTCAAATTTAAAATTCAACAACCCATTACTCACCTAAAATTAAGTGAGGGTGCAAACTTTTTTTCTGAAGAATAGAGTTTCAACAGATTTACCAACTCACCTCATATCATCTTACTAAGGAAACCCCAACTTTTGTTTGGGGTTGTACACTCTGAGAGAACTCACACTACTTGACCGGCACAATGAAATGAATAGTGCCTTGTCTAAGAAATTACATTGGCTTGTGATGGTTGACACAATCAGTTTTCAAAGGAAGGGGCTGGTTGTGTCAATATTTGATTGTAAAAATGTGAATCAGGATTAATCAATTTGTGAATTGATCTTAACAGTATGGTAAAATAGTCAAACTTACATATACTTTAAAGTGAAATGATCTTGTTTCCTATTTAACACAAGACTGGATTAAGGTTTTTTTTACCTAATGAAAAGTGTTTAAAAAACTATAGGCCACTGTAAAGACACTTGGACTAAGATTAAAGGAAATTAATTCAAATGGTCTGGATGTCTTATTAATAATGTTTATCATCAAAATTATGTTTCATATCATTTGTCCACATACAACTAATAAACATATCCTCCTTGATTTCTAAGAAATTGACTGAAAAGTAGGCCAGCACAGTAGTAATGATTAGCTTTAGTTATTTGATGAGAACAGAGCTGACAATAACATTCTGCTTTATCTTAAACAGAGTGAAATCTCACAAATGTAATCTAGCATTTGCCAAATTTGATCTTTAGACCTTTTATGTTAAAGAAGGAAACAGATTTTTTTCCAGCTGACTTAGATATAGTGGAGAGCTCAAGCATCACAGTTCTTACCTTTTCTTGCAGGAGGCTTTTAAACCATGTGCTTACAATGTGCTACAGCAGAATAGAAAATAGGACGAGGAGGCTTTACTCTTTACAGGGTCTGCTCCTGCTGCAGCTTCCTGCTACATTCTCATTTGGGATGCGAATGACTCTTCTTTCATGGACTACGTTGGGTAACCTTATGCTGTATTAGAAACTGGAGCTGTGACAAAGGCCAAATGAGCAAACCCGCATGCATGCAAACACACACACACACACACACGCACACGCACGCACACACACACACACTAACCTGTAAACACAGGTCTCAGAAAGTCAGAGTCAAACACTAAAACTAAAGGTAACAGATTACAAAAATTGTAGAAAAAATATATATATTTGGGTAGCTGCATGTCTGAAAGTGCAGCTTTTCATGTGTGACATATGCTGCCTCTCCGAGACCTAAGTGATGTGATTAAGACCCTCTGGACCGGAATGGTGTGATTAGATCCTCAGATTTCTCTGTGACTGACTTACATTAAACACATCAATGCACACATGTTGTATTCACATCTAACCTTATTCCTTTATTACAGTAGATCATTCAAAATTAACAACAGTTTACTCGTTCAACCTGGCTGGGTAGAGAGAATGCTCTTCACCTGACATTTCTCTTTCAACTCAACAGATCTGTTTTGGTATCACTTCCTTTAAGTCTCTCTTCAAATCTTGGCTTCCAGACTGGGAACATTAAAATTGTATGACTCTCAGTCTAAATTACTCTCGAAAATGTTCAATCATTAAAGCAGAAAAACAGGATATTCGACCCGTCCCTCATGCTCCCTTTTATATATTTAGCAGCAAAACAGATCACAGATCTCAATCCTTTCTCACTTCAAAATCCTGGTACACTGACACTTTGTCAGGAGGCCACTGTGTCCGTTTTAAATTTTAGACATTCAAGTTTCCTGTGATTGGCACATAAGAATAGTGGGACATGCTGTCAATGCAAAGATGAATATGAAGCCAAGTATTTGCAGCTAAATGTATTTAATTGTGTGTATGAATATCTATCCATTACCTGGTAATTAGTACCTGGTATTTATGAAACTGCCGTGTCATAAACATATTACAAGCTTGGAAGTCAGACTGCTGCTACCCTTAATCCTTTCAAACCTCTTTACTGTTTGTTTGTTCACAACTGTACAATGATGTTTCGCTCTTTTTCTTTAAATTTGGACAAACTGGTACACGTCCCTTGTTGATGTAAATGACACGTGATTGTAGTTTTCTGTGGCAGTCTTATCGTGTCAGCATTGCATATAATCATGCTTCCACTATAAATGTTTGTCGATGCTAATAGCACTTTCTGTCCTGAAATTCAAATTCAGTGTACTTTTTTTTAAATCTAACGTTGGAAATGTTTTTTATTCTTAAAATATGGACTTTGATTAGCTGACAATCATGTAATTTTGGTGCTACCTTTGATTTCAGTGTCCAACATTTTTGTAAAGAGCACATGAATTAATAAATTAGAGGAAATTTTTTCAAAGACATCCACATGTTCTGAGGGCATGGCTGTACATACATGCAGATGCTTTTAAATTTTGAAAGCTTTGGAACAGAAGTCTCATTTGGGTCTTTGCCAAACACTGGTGGTATGTTTATTCTTGTCATGCTATTAATGCTCAGAGAGCCACCATGAGTGAAACCCATGAGATAAAATCTCTCACAACATTAGATGCCTTAATACTAAAAAAAACAGGCAAGCAGTGCACAGAGGAGGGATTAAAAAGATCCATGTACACAGCAACATAGGCAGCTGCGACAGGAATACGGTAATGCACGCTGAACTGAGATGTGCATTTTAGTAAGATGTCCACAGTGACTTTATTACATGTGTGTAAACATGAGCAGATGTTCAGACAAATCTAACTTAAGCCAATCCTTTGCTAGCTGGTTGCCAAGAATAACATGTATCTGTTCAATACTTAATGCAGAGGCCAAATATCATGGTGCATCATATTGAGAAATACCATTTTCTGCTTTATTTACCATAAAGGAAGATTTATGATATCAACCATGGTACACCTTGGAATTCACATAAAAAAATGGGGGAAAAAACATTGGATCAAATGTCAAGAAATCTGAATGAAACAGTAATTCAAACACTTAATTAGAAAATCAAAAATTGGTTGGGTTTTAAACGTCCTATTCCTATTAAAAATATTATTCTTATTTAATCCAAATGACATGTTTAAAAATACATGGGACATGGCCTTGTTCATGACTCTAGAGGCTGACATTACTGATCTGGCTTTAGGTAACCCATTTCCTTCAGCAGGGACAGACATTAAGGTTTCAAACTGGACCATTTGTCATTTTCAGAATACTAAACTCATACAATAAAGAAATAGACATGGACTTTAAATAATATGGTTAATTTTTTTTTACTCATACTTTACAAAGTCCCAACTGTTTATATTACAGATTAGTAATGTTTCTGCATTGCAAAATGAGAGAATTTCAATAAAGGCAAGTAAAGGAAAGAAATAAAACCCTGTGCATCACTGATATGGGAGCAAATTCAACACCATTATTTAATACTAAATATCTTTTGAAGATGTAAGCTTCGTAAAGACCTTAAGTTGCAGGGTAAGAACCTTAAACCCATAAGTCTTATGCCATGTTTGAAAGACTATTTCTCTAAATTTTTCTAGAAGGATTATATTGAAGTATCAATGTGGTCAGTGTCTTACTTTCTTTAGGCTGCTGAAAGAGTGCTCTGAGTATTTGATAGCTTACTATTGG